TCTATTGTTGATCAATGTGGACGAGTCTAGGCGAAGGGTAGAAATAGAACACTTTTGTCATGTGAAACTCTATGCCTTTGGGCTGTGGTAAGATGGAGTCGCTTCCCGGTTGTGGATTTGACCCCCTTGATTGGTAGTTGCTTTATTTGTTAGATCCCGTGAGGTTTATTTGTTCTAGCCTTCATCATTCTTGTTGAGTGGCATATTTGGATCCTTGAGTACGCATTTTTCGATCTTTGTGTTGACTAGTAGCTCCCGAGACCGACTTGACACTTTTAAGGGAGGAAGAGGGCACCTTTTTCATTTTTCTTATTTTGTTCCTTTTGTTTTGTTACAAATTGATTTTCTTTTTACATCATCTTACTTGCTAACCATGTTGAGCTTTAATTCCATTCTTGGTTAACCGTGTTACAAACCCGATGGCCAATGTTTTACCAACCCTTAGTTGTGAAGCGTTTACCTAGATAGGTTTGTTGAGCTTATTGTTTACTAATCAAGAAATAAAGTTTGATAGTTGGTTTGAGCAGGTGTGAAAGTGAGCCTAATTGTAAATATGTAATGTGAAAGTCATTTTTCCATCAATAAAAAAAAAAAAAGGAAGAAAAAAAAAAGAATTTAAAAAGAAAAAAAAGAAGAAGAGAAAAGCCGTCCGAATTGTGAAAAAGGCAAGGACACATAAATAAAGTTTTGAAGTTTGAAAGAGGTCATTTGAGTGTGTATTATATGGATAATTTGGGATGTGTAAGAATGTGAATCAATGAGATTGTGGAAAGTGAATTACATCTTTTGAACTATTGTTTTTGAGAATTGTGATTCTTGCGCTTCATTTAGGAATTAACCCCACTTTTTTTAAATCGTTTTCACCTACCTTACCCATTGCCAATACATTACAACCCTTTAAGACCCTTAGACTTTAGAGGTGTTCGGTTCTCAAACGGTGGAGGGAGATACCTTTCAACCCTATGGAAAGATTATGCGTAATCGAGATGTCGGGATACCTTTGTTATTTCCTCAAAACATCACTTCCTCCGGTTCCTTCGAGGAATCACGAGGGGCCAATTAGGGAGGTGATTTGAAGCAAAAGGGGAGGACGTGGCCGGTTTGGTCGGGTTTAGAGGGAAGCATGATTTCTTTGTTCTCTATGCTTGGTTTAGGTCTTGTTCGCATTTGATCAACGATATCTTGGATTGTGTGTCTCGTTGCTTGTTTGAGTGAGTTTTCCTTCCGTGCATGGTTGTTCTAAGTAGGATCCATTGATTTCATTCCGTGCTTAATTTGATTTGTTCGCAATGGCATAGTTTATTTGATCTTGTGTGTGTTTCCCTTGGTTTTTGCTCGAGGACTAGCAAAAGTGTAGCTTGGGGGGTTTTGACAAGCGCACTTTAGGGCGCGCTTTAGAGCATATTTTAGGATGATTTTGGATGTATTTGGGGCCGCTTTGGCCGATTATTACCTTGTTATGCTTACGTTCCCCATATTACGTGCTTCACGGGTTTTTGGTTTGTTTTTGATGTGTTTTCAGGTAATATCAACCGAGTTTAATCGGATCCCGAGCCCTTGATGCGTAATCGAGCTAGCCTTGACCGGAGGTCGAGGAGTTAAGGAAGTTCAAGTGCCGTGCATTGATTACATAGCACAGGCAGCACGGCGTGTTACCATAGGCACACCCGTGCTGGCCTATAAGCAAGCAACCCCAGGCAAGGCAGCACGGCCGTGCAAGCCAATAGCACGGCCGTGTCAGTATCCACGCACCCGCACGGCCGTGTAGGCCATTAGCACGGCCGTGCCAGATGTTGCCCGTGCCCGTGTCAGCTTCAGTATCAGCCCCGTGCTAGAGCATATTCAGCACGGTCGTGTCATTTTTAGCACGGCCGTGCCAGGAAGCTGCACGGCCGTGCCATATATAGCACGACCGTGCCAATTTGAAGAAGAAATCTGGTTTACTTACTGACAAGCTAGCACGGCCGTGCCAAATACAGCACGGCCGTGCTGATCCAGGGTTAACTGCGCGCTTGACTTCTCCGCATTAGAAGACGTATATAAGGCCCAACTTTAAGAGGATTCCTCATACAGTTTTTAGAGATAGTTTTGAGAGCCTTTGTAGAGAGTTATTGGAGAACGTTCTTAGTATTAGAGATTCATTAGTTTTCTTAGAGATATTTCTAGAGATTTTAGTTTTCTTGGATTGATTTGAAGCAAGATTTGCGAAGATTCTTTGTATTATTCATTGACGACGGATATCAAAGTTCTGAACTTTTCCATTGATTCGCATCAATACAATTGGTATTATTCATTCTTGTTTATTAATCAAGCTTTATTATTCCTTAATCAGAATTCATGTTTATATCTATTATGCTTTTGGAATTCATTATTGCTTTGATTATGAATATGTGTGAGTAGTCTCCTAGCTAGGGTTTCGGGATGAAACCCGGCCTAGGTAATCTATGTAATTGAGGATTGATTTTGATAAACGGATTGTGATTAAATTGATTATATGCGATTGCATGTTAATTCATTATAATAGGAGTAGCTAACCTAGAATCTTGAATTTGATTGCATGATATTCTTGATTTGAACAAGAGATTGTGAATTGAGTATTTCATTATTGAATGTGGTTTGATTATGTATCGAGTAATGTTAAGTGCATGAGAAATCCAAGCTTAGTATTGCCCGTTGTCTTCCTATCACATGATATTGATCAGACTTATAGTCTTTGCATATCCCGTTTGTCTCTGTGATTCCTTGTTGCTTAGTTACCAATGGTTAGGCGGATTCCCGTTCTCCCTAGTGTCTTAGTTTATTGATTTATTCCATCTTATTAGTAGTATTTTAGAACACCATTTTCCATTGATTTCGAACTAGCTTAGGTTTAAGATTGATTTGCAATTACTCTCGTTCCTCGTGGACCGAACCTTTATTTGCCATTGTACTTGGTTATAGGGTGTTCGTATAAGTATTGTTAGATTGAGAGTTAGATTGTAGCGACCGATTTAACCCTCGTCAATGACATGCTAGCACTAGAAGAAAAACAGCAAAGGGCACCGATTCAAACCCGACCTAAGGCACCGATTTTAACCGGTTACAATGTGGGGGGTTCCAAATACCCCCCTTTTTGCCACCGGTTCAAAACCGGTGCCATAAACCGGTTTTGGCACCGGTTAATCGCTACCTTTATTTATTTTGTCCACCGGTTAACCGGTGCCTTAAATATAGTCCCGCGCAATTTTTTTTTGGTGGCAGCAGTTTTTGGCACCGGTTAACCGGTGCCTTTTCAATAATATTATTTTTTTTTTCCTTTTTTCTTACAATAATATTAAAACAAAACACCCTGTTATTCCAGCAATAATAACCTGTATTTTCAGCAATAATATTAAATAAAATAATTAATAATATTATTATTATAATTACTAATAATATTAATATTATTAAATATTATAATAAGATACAAATAATATTAAAAACAAGAATTAATATATGTATAGATATAAATATTCCCAAATGAAATACAATAAAAAAAATGTTATATATATACAAATGATAGTAAGTAAATAATGATTAATTATATATAGTCAAAAAGTTAACATAAATTTACAATTAAAATGACATTTAATTTACATGTTGAAGGTGATAAAAGACGCCAACATGTCACGAACTTCATTAAATTCCTTGATTGTCAACGGACCGTCCTTTTGTAACTTGCAATAGTTGAAATACAAAAAAATTATGTTAGAACAAACTACTTAGGCTAAACAATATGTATTTTATCAAATATGACCTATATGACTTCTATTTAGCCCATTTCCTACATTTCTTATCAAATGAACTATTTCTTTCTCATAACATGTCAATGTCACCTATTTTTATGTGTCTAAGCCTTAAAATTGAATCAAAAGAGAATTTTATTAAGGTTTAAGACGCTTTTTACTCAAAATGACCCAAATATGGCCTATATGACTTTACATTGCCCATTTCCTACAATTCTTATCAAATGAACTTTATTTATCTCATAACATGTCAATATTATTTAGTTATAGGTGTATAAGGAATGAAATCACATCAAAAGAGCATATTAACACAAAATGGCCCTAATATGGCCCATATGACTTCTATTCAGCCCATTTTCTACCTTTCTTATCAAATGACCTATTTATTTCTCATAACTTGTCAATGTTGGGTAATATGAGGTGTCTAAGGCTAGAAATCACATCAAAATAGCATTTCATTAAGTTTTGCAACGCAATTTACTCAAAATGGCCCAAATATGGCGTATATATGACTTCTATTTAGCCCATTTCCCACATTTCTTATCACTAATTGAGCCATGGCGCGCGATAGCCCAATAAACACAAAATGAGTGTGACTAATGTTGTTATTAAATATACGGGATATACTAATTTAATTTAGCTATTGCATGTAAAGGGTGTTATTATATTATTTGTTTTTGTGTTTAGACTAAGTTTAGATTTAGCTGGTATGTAATGGGAGGTCGTAAAATTTGTAAATACTCAAAACTTATTATTGCTTAAGATTATTTGTAGCAAATCACTTTCTAAAAATAGAAAAACGACTAACACACGTGTGTATAGATATTGTGGAAATAAGGAAATCTATGAAAAGGGACTTTCTATTCTTGCATTTTTTAATGTACATGTATATTCTAGAATTTAGGAAGTCGGAAATTTTTCCGTCTTTCAAGATTTTAGTCATTATTGCTTCACTTGCTTTTGATTGGTCAATGTGTGTACTTCTATTGCGTGGTGTATAAAGTATAGTCAGCTGCATTTCTGTCTTTCATTTTCTGTTGATTTTTTTCCCTTTTTTGTTGAGTCTTAAAAGTTTATCTTGTTCTTTGCTTGATTTTTAATTTCTAAGCCATAACAATGGCAAGCACCGATAGCACTGCCACCTTTGGCAGAGTATTTTCGCCACCAATTTGGAGACCTAATGAAGCGAAATAAAGAGAAGAAAACGTTGCAAATTTTCGTTTGTACTCTTTGGAAATGGAGATGAAGATGAAGAGGCATTTGGAATTTTTGCAACAAGGGCTTTCAAAGGTTTAAAGCAAAAAAGAAAAAGGTGAATCAAGTAAAAAAAGGAAACGGGAAGTAGTAAGGAATGACTGTGGAGAATGGCCTGTTATCGTGATTGAATTAGACAATGTTGATGCTGAAATTAATCCTAAGGAAGGAGTTGGTGTAGAAGAGGATGGGGAGGAAAGAGACGATGATGATGAGACTGATGAAGATGAAGAGACCAAGGAAGACGACGAAACTGATGAGAATCCACAAAGCAATGTAAATTCTGATTTAGAAAGTGAGAGTGAAAAAAAAGTTGTTGTCAATTCCGATGAATCTTCCGAATCAAAAAGCGATAGCTATAATGATGATGATGATTCTGGTCCGGATTCTGATTTTGGGAACCAACAAGAAGGAAGTCAAGAAGCAAGTGAAGATTCATCCATGTTCCGTATGAAAATTTCTGACTAATTGTGTTCTGTCTGTTCTTGAGTGTTTTTTTGGGGCTAAGATGTAGTAGTGGTAGGATGAAGAAAGGGATTGTAAGGGGTTTTTTTTGTGTGTGCTAGGCTATGATTGGTGTTCTAAGGGTTGTTGGTGTCTCTTGGTGATCTTAACTGTCCTGATGTCTTTTTGGAGTATCAGATGTAGGTACCTAATTAGTTGATGAAAGGCCTATAAGCAGTGTAATTAGTAATAAAGGATAGTAGGTTGTAATTATTGCAAAATAAGATTTTGCTCTTGATATAAATGAATGATCGAACTTGATTATATACTCTGTGTTTTTCATGTTTGTCTATATGTTGTATTATATTGTTATTAGCCATTTTCTATATAAATCCAAAGCTTATGAGTTCATATGTACAAACTAATGGAATAACATAATGACAATGTAGAGACTGTTTGAGTTTAAAACTTCTCTGTCAATATAGAACAAAGAAGCCTGAGAAATATATGGCAAGCAAATGCAAAAAGTAAAATTTACAGTATTAAGCCATAATAATAATAATAATAATAATAATAATATATATATATATATATATATATATATATATATATATATATATATATATATATATACTCCCTCCGTTTTTTTATATGCATCACTTTCCTTTTTGAGGTGTTTTTTTTAAATGCATCACTTCTACATTTGGTAAATTTTTACTATATTTTATCATTTCTCTCTCTTACTTAAACTCCACTCAACTTATTTTATCATTTCTCTCTCTTCCATGGTCCCCACTAAAATAATAAAACAAAATCTATTCTCTCTCACATATTTTCTCTTTCATGGTCCCCATCTTATTTTTACTATAATAATTTATTCACCACATCACATTATAATATTACTCTCCTAAAACTTTTTGCAAACCAAAGTGATGCATATAAAAAAAATGGAGGGAGTATCACATAAGAGTTCCATAATAGGTACATGATTGATAGCTACATTGCTACATCTTCCCTAAACTTTAAATAACTAATGTCTTATTGTGTTACAAAGCATGACTAAGTAACCAGAAAACAAAAGCTAGATGAACTAATCACAGCCTGTGTCAAGATAGACACATTTCGAAGTAGTGTTACACAGGAACAAACACTTATGAAATGCTTGTTCCTATATAAAACCATAATGCTTGATTGTCTCTTATAACCACAGAGAAGCAATCAAGTAGCAAAAGATAGATAGTCTAGTTTCTTACTAAGCCCATAGTCCTCAAAGGTCTTAACCATAACCGATTTTTTACCTAGTCTATATGGCTTTATTTAGGAACATGTAATTTAAGAGTACTTGTTCCTTCTAAAAGCCACATTTCTAATAGCATAATATATACATAGCAAAAGATTTAGTAGTGAAGCTCTTACCCAACTGATCTGTCACGAGTCTTACTTCTGGTCCTGCATCTAAGAGTCATCTGAGTCATAATCATGAAATACAAGTGCTCGACGCTTGCTGTCTTTTTCTTGCTTAACAACTTTGACTGTTTCCGCAGAGGGCAATTGGTGTGTCATAGTCAATTCCCTTTCCTTTCAGTGCTGCTTGCATAGCCTGATCCTTCTCCTTTTCCTTGATGAGATGTCCATTCCTGATAGCTGAAGCTATTTCATGGTCAATAACATCTTTTGCTGGTGTGGTAGCATCAAGCTGACTATCAGCATCAACCCTCTTTCTTTTTTGTCCTACATCCTCTGCATCAGACTGTGCTGCTTTTTCTGCTGCAGCCATTGCTTTTGATGCTAAGCAAGCATCTTCCTCTTCCTGGCTGAAGACTAATAGATCATATGCAGCAACTGTTTCTTTCTTGATGGTCTTGCTGAGAGGATCTTTGTTTTGAAGTGCACACTCATTGTGTTGGTCAGAAGCAGCATCTTTGGCATCAACTATTGGTTCTGCATTCTTAATTACATATTCTGCAACAACAGCTGTGGAGCTGCTTCCCACAACATTAGGTGTGGCTGTATCTTCCATCTCCACACCCTTTAAACCCCCTTGTAAAACTTGATTATGTTCTAAGGCAGTCGTAGGACCAACCTTTATCAAGAAGTATGTAGTTGATAGCCTATAAGCTATCCTACGGAATCTAGTGGTATCATCCTGAAATAAGATAGATGGTGAGTTAATATAAAAGAAAGTACAAATACAAATCAAGGAGCACTAAGAATTGTTAACATACGACATGCACTATACTTAATCATTTACTGTAGCCTTCATGTGATACATTTCTTCAGCTGATAGCTTAAAAAGTGGGAAGCAGTTTTTAGTGAATGTAGTGAGCTGAAGTGCTCCAGTTCCATTAGAGAAAGTCAATGTAATAATTGCTCTGTATAATTTTAAGGATTAGTGTTTTCTTTTAATGGTTACTATACCTCGTTATTTTTATCAGCTAATGTGAAAAAGTAGTGCTATTTACCGGTGAGTTGCAGTTATTTCATCTCTGTTACAGGCTGCGCAATTATAGATGGTTCAGAGAGGAAGTTGTGTTCGCTTTCCTAAATGGTCTAATCCATAAATAGCAAGAGAACTACCTATCGATTCTAAAAACCACTCAACTGATTTAACAGTAAGACGCCTCACTTTATATGGATTAGAAGCATACCTATGTCTAAAATCCTATAACAGGGAATTATAATATTTCATCCAGAGAGTCAGGGGATCGCTAGGATTACAAAATATAAGCACAGTATCAAATAGCTTGCGAATTGCAAGTGGCATCTGAACAACACAACCTTCTCTAAGACATAGATCAACTGAATCATCTTCTTCTAACAAGTTAAGCTTAAGTGCAACCTGTTGAAAGGTGGCACATACATGACCATCAACTGTACAAAGATCTTCAAATGACTTAGGACTTTTAACATTATGCAACAATAATCTGAGATAATATCTTTCTCCTTCTGAAGGTCCAACAAAATCCAATCTAACAATAACTATCTTCTTATTCTGTCTTTTATACCAACGCTTGTCAGATGAATCCCAACGATAGTGTTCTGAAAATTTATTGTACTTCAGTCCTGTTCCAGGAGACAGCTTGACATTCATTCAAAAGAACTCTGTAAGACAAGTTCTAGAACGTTTATCATCTGAAACCACTGATGTAAGTCGTTCATGGGGCCTAAGCTGGACCAACTGTGAATTAGGCAAATGCACAGGAAGAGGCAAAACTGGTGGATGCATTTCATACATATCAAAGCTAAAAAGGCGCCAAGCAGCTTCACAGGGTGAAACCCATCGACCTGACTGATACTGCTGTATTTCATCTTGGACAGGAACATCATCTTCAGACTGACCAATATTAAAAGACACTCTGTCATGACCCTTATAAACATACTTATACAAATACTTGACCGCCTCTATAGTAGAGCAAACCTCAACATTTAAATGATAGTCAAAGTATGAAGAAAGATATGGACTATATGGGATAACCCATTTATTATCCATAATTGTCTTTCGAACTGTAACAGTTTCTCCTGTTTCTCTTCTTCGGTACAATGGATATCCATCACTACCATTTTTAGTTTCATCACAGAACTGCTTTGGATAACCATATTTACAACGACCAGGACTTTCTTTTTGCTTCATACAAGGACACTCTGGATTCAAGTGACCGCAGGGACCATGCATCATATGTTTGAGTATCACTTTTCTAAGATATCTATTGTCAACTGATGGTATCTCAGCACATACAAATTTATCAAAATCAGATGGGCATTTGATTTTGTACTCTTGCTTTAAAATGACCAAAAAGTGAGCATGAGGTAAACCTCTCTTCTGGAACTCAATCACATAGATCATTGCTGCAACCTCCCCAAACACCTTTTTTTTATCAGATGCTTTAAAGATTAAACTTTTGCTCTAAAGATCCTTGCAACTATATCTGGTCTGTCCTGTGCCTTTTCTCCAACAGCAAGCTCCTTTTTAATTTCAGACCAATTAGCATTACAAGTCATTGTAATAAATAGATCCGGCTTACCAAACCGCTGAACTAATGCCATTTCATTAAGGTATATCTTTTTAAGATCTCGAGGACCACCAATAAATGTTGGAGGTAAGATCACTCTACAACCAAAATTTGCTGCATAGTTCTCTCCACAGTCAATAGTATCTAGGATTCCTTGACATAGATCTGCTCTTATAGCTTGCTGATTTTTACGAAAGAAATCCAATCGTGTATTCTCCACTTTGACATAAATATCCACTATATACTGCTGAAAGCATCTACCTACTCTTAGCAAAATATTATTGGGCCTTCATTGAAGCTTGTATGTATAGTATTCCCTTGCTGAAATGTTCCTGTCTGTCTTTGAAGAACCTCCATTTGCACATACAAATCAACATTATTTTTCCCTGTTAAAAAGCATAGCTGCAATGGAAAACAATGACTATAACGGGATTGAGACACATTTTTTTAAAAGTGTTTTGTATCCATGTTATTTTTTTCTTTTTGTTAAGGATTTTTTATCCTCTTGACTTGCTTGAATGATGGAGGTAATAGGATATACATACGTCTTGCTTCGTCCTCCAGCAAGTCTTCTGTTGTATGAACACTGCATGAAGAAACAGGATCTGGTTGTGATTGCAGCTGTTGAATTCCACCATATGACATCTTTTTTAACCCCTAAGTCCATCCACAGTCACCGAATGGAATAAGAAGCGGGTACTGCAGAGGATCGTAACAACCATAAAAGTGCATTATCCTATGACATGACTTTATTTCAGATAAATCACCTTTAGATGACTCACTGTAAGATGAATGATCTTCAGCTGAATCATTTTCAGCCGAATTCTCCTGTAATCCATCCCTTCTTGCTGTAACCAAAATATGAGGGCTTTCTGCCTCGCTGGAAGATGTATTTTCTGGCCATATGACAACAACTTCATCGGCGGAAGGGGCATTGTAAACACACTGATCTGGCACAGTTGTTTTGTTGATCAAAATCTGCGTAGAATCATTAATTTGGATCTCTCTCAGTGAATGAAAGAACCTGGCATAAGGATTTACTTCAGTAACTTTCATAAGTATAGCCAACATATCTTCCCTTTGTTCTGGAAAACAGCCTAGTCGTTTCAGAGCCTCAAGCTATCCATCATAGAAATAGAGCTGCATATACTTTGGTCCTTCCTTTCCTGGAAGTAAGTAAGGAATGTAATGGTATATCTGACCATGCAGCTTAAAAACATAGATCCATTTTTTAGTCTTAGCATCATATTTTCCACCTAACGATGTAAATGCAAACAAATTGTTATACAATCGTATGTACTGCCTAAAATGCTCTGCGTCCTCATCAATAGAAGTGAGAAGCCTCACATTCTCCGCAGGGTAATCATTTGTAGCGATCTTAACCTCACCCCCCGAACAGCAGAAATGAGGTGTTTCAAAAGCAAATTTGCGTGCCCTACAGTTAGAACACTCAGTAGGACAAGGAAGCTTATATTGTTCTGTAGGTAATCTCTTACATATTGATGCATGAGGGACCTCTGATCAAGATAAAAGATTAATAAAACACTCATGTATGTATACAACAATCAACATGTAAAACCGGAATAAAATGCTATAAGAAAACATAAATTCAATTACTTGTAACTGGATGCCTAGTCTTCGGTATCTTTGCACGTTTTATGGAAGGTTCAGCCTGTGCCCTAAAAAAGGAAAAGGAATACAACGTTTCACTATCACTGGGTATATTTTTTCCTACAAGGATGAAAAGCAACTGCTACTAATCCTAACTATTCTGCAATTTAAATGAAGTATCTCCATGTACACATACTTTTATCAGCAATCACTTTTCTGTATCATACCTCTGTAGTTCATCCTGAGATCCAGACTCTAAACTCTTAAGGCGCTTAGTGCGATATCCATTTGAAGATGATGGTTCTTGTAATAGACGATCTATAACATGCTCAATAAAAAATAAAATGTTTGGGAGAATTAGCCTAACAATTTTAATCAGCTATGAAGCATACACAACATAGTCTAGAACATACTCATATCTGAATAGCTTTGTACCAAGCACCAAGCCACAACTAATGTTGTGTTTGCACAGGCACTTAATTGTGATTCCAACAGCTGATCAACTGCAATACACCAGTTCAGACTCTCCAATACATCATGCACTGAGCGAATAGTTAACTGACATCATATAAAAAGTTCAATGACTAAATAATAAAAGAATGGCAATATAGAAGAACTGTGTATTTCATACAGCAAAAAATGCACTACAACAAGATTTATATATAGATATAATAAAGGATTTTGGAAAATCCATCACATTGCTCCAGCAAAGATCATACATAAGTTTAGCTTCAGGAAAGCCCTTAACAAAAGAAACCTTACATAGCTTCAACAAAGTTCCTAACAAAAGAAGCTTTACATAACGACATCTAACATAGCCCTAACACCATACAAAAGCATATGAAATAGTCCTAACATAGTACACCAACAACCCAGCTTAATAAATAAGCAAAAAGAACCAAGCAATACATCCGCAAAAGTGCTAGTTTCAACACAGACACTTAAAGGTCCTAACCTCTAACAAACTTTCCACGCTTAAGACAACAATCAAAATCATCTGGTAGTGGAAACATCGAGACCATCTCACAATCAGAACCAAGAACAGGAGCTATCTCTGCATAGATGTGTCGCAGCAGGCGCTTTTTATGAGGCAAGAGAGGTGGAATAGACACGGTAACCTGAATTTTTTTTCCAAGAGGAGTAAGGCAGTCTTGTTCAATGAGAGCTGTGGAAAGCTCTAGCTGCTCTTTAATGCCTAAAACACGTTCCTTAACACCTACATAGCTCTCCCTCTCTAAGGTACATAAAATGGCATCAAATCTAGTTGTTGTCACCTTGTAATTAGCATCAACTATTACAAGGTTAAAGACATTAGAAAGATAGTCCACAGCCTTCCTAGCTCAGCTCTGCTTTGCTGCAGCTGTAGTTGGACAATAAGCACTAAACATACAGCGGAAACCTACTCCTTCTTTGTGAGGCATGATAGTAAACCATGAAGTGAGCTGATCAGGAGAATGTTCAATGGTTTCAATTGGAGTGCATCTTATATCGACAGTTCTAAAGATAGCCCTTAGAATAACAATAAAGTCCACTACAATCTTCTTATGGTTGCTTTCAAGCTCATAACTAACTTCCTCATGAATACAAATCTTAGGTTCCTCCCTTTCAATGCGCTCCAACTCTTCCTTTTTAAACCAAAACAGCTGACCGCAACGGTCATACATCTGTTTCCTTAAATAGGTAACATCCTCGATGACTATTTCATATTTCTTCATAAAATCATATACAACGTTTCTAGCAGCCACCTCATAGGGCTCTTCTACACTCTCAGTATAGCCACCTATATAAACAGAAGCAATGGGACCACAGTCTATCTTTATCACCACACAAGCAATGCTACCTGGTTCATCTACAAATTGGTAATCTGGATCAGGGAAGTTCAAGTAACTGGTAATCTGCTTCAGGAGAGGTCGGAAAGGCATTATCACTTGCGTGGGTGGTAAGTCCATGACCTGTAAACAATTATAATTCAATCAGTCCATTGATAAAGGCGCGATTCTTATTAAAGACTACTATGGTGCAGGCAGTCTTAGACCTACACTATAACCCTCATGCTGGAACCACAAAATCTATATTTTCTTAAAAAGTCCATTGCATCAAACCAATCCCTAACAACATAGTAGGTCCTTATAAACAACTAGGAAAAAATAAGCATAAAATAATAACAACAAACAAACACAAGGAACACCTTTTATGATCAGAGTTAGCTATGGAACTACATAAATGAACACATGCTTCTCCTACAAACCAATGGCTCTAAAGCAAAAAAAAAAAAAACTAACAACCACACTCATATTTCCTCCACACAACCATGACTGCTTAAAAACCAAGATCATTCATCAGCTCACTTTAAAAACTCAACACCTATAACTCCACAAAAGAGACTAAAATGCCTGTAAATAACAATTCATTACTACCCTGCACTCCAAACAGAATAGCCTCCCTTCCCCTCCCCCCTAAAAAAACACAATCTAATAAAATACATCCTTCTGCTAACAACATATGACATGAAAGCAGCATCCTAAAATTCAAAAGCAACAACCATATTCAATGACAACTACAAGCTAAATCTAATGAACAACTCACTGAATAAAAAAACAAGCTATAACAATCAATCCACTAATTAAAGGGAAAACAAAAATTATTTAACCTGTAACTAAATAAAAAAAAAGCAAAGAATGATTCAGCACATGAATTACACTCCATACACAGAACACACAACATAGAAAAAACACCAATCAATCTACAAATTATAATCAGATTGTTGATTCGAAAGCAAAAAATGATTTAGCACATAAATCGCACTCCATATACAGAACACATAGCACAGGAAAAACACCATCAACACGGAAATTATAATCAGATTGTTGCTTTGTCCTTGTCACAGTCCAGTAATGTATGGAATTGTCATTTGTCATGGCTAATCACAGTCCGAGTCCGTTTAATTTCTGGCAGTTTTTGCATCAACCAAACAATGCAATTATTTAGAAAGATAGCTATGTAACAATGTTGAGCTAATGAAAGCCAAGTTACCTGAGTTTCCTTTGTCTAAAATTTATCAGTCTGTCGTAGGCTTTCAGAGCACAAAAAAGAAAAATAAATTTAGATGCAAGAATGCAAATGATAGACAGACTGTAAAGAATGTGGATTCTTTATATAAACATCTAACGCAAGCACACAATAATATGGTAATAATAAATAAATACTTTGCTAGTAAGCAAAA